TCTTCAAATCCATAAAATTCGTCGCCTTCGTTATCAAAACTTAAATAACACGTCATCTAATTTTGGCTGACTATCGGGAATTTGAAACCTAGATATGGCATATAAAATGCAGGAGAATTTTAAAAGATATTTTAATAAAAAAAAGTGCGCTTTATATGCCGTCAAATACGGTATATTAACAAGCTTGTAGAATGGTGGGAGAAAATGCAGGTAAAATGGTTGGATTCCTATATTGCTCCAGTAAATACCCGACTCCACGCGCTATCCACTACCTTTACAAGGGCCATATCGAGCCAAGAACGGAGTACTGATGTCAGATCGCACTCTCCAGCTTCGACAGGGTTCAAAACCGTCTCCGAGTCCTTGTGGGTGACGAACCTTTCTCACACAGGCTTCATGTGGCAAGCCTCTCGCTGCTCTATCGCGGAAAGTACTCGGAAAGTACTCGGAAGAGCTACAATCCTTGGCTCCACGGAAATAATTTTGCATGCAATTTACATTGTAGAAAATCATCTACATTCCCTCTGTATTTAATTGGCGAGAAATCAAGCTCAAATCTCAGACGACGTGGAACCGTCATAGAACTGATATTTGTATCATTCTGAAACAGAGCAGCATATATTCTCTGACAAGAACTTGTTGGATACCATGTATCAAAGTGCCTCATTAAATGACACATTGATTTTCCTTAAGCATCTACACCCATTGTCGCTAAATGTTCCAGAAGTAAAGAAATTCACGATAGTAGAATGCAGAGCTATTTTTTTTTTATAATATTTTAATCTAATTTCATATACCCAATAGCCTTCATCCTGTATAACCACAATATCTGTAGGAGAAAAAGTTTTTTACCTTTATTCAAAGCTTAATTCACTACACATATGCTGTGATAACAGCTGCTAATTTGGGAAGGACAGCATTTTTTTAGCATAAATTATGTGAGAGATAAATTTAATGTCGCCTTTCTTGGGGTGAAATAATTACACATAAAACATTATTCCACGTAGTTTGGTCAATTTATCGTTGTTCCTGGTGGCAAGAATTCTTACAAACTGTTAAAGCTTGGTTTGGTTTGGTTTGGTTTGGTTTGGTTTGGTTTGTTTGTTTAACGGCATTATGGGTCATTTAATACCAAAATTTTATCCTATTTTGAAGTTTGATAATTCTTTTTCAAAAAATATATTTCTTGTAATATTTGTTTTCCAATAATATATTACATATAATTTATTTATGTATTTTTACTATGACAATTTATTGCTGGTAACTTTTTACTAATGTATTTTTTAAATTTCAAATGTTTTACTTTAATTTGGGGGTTAACTATTTTCCCATAGCTGGAACCGTAACAGGTGCTACCACCCCGGGTCAGGGTGGATCTGTAAACAACAGCAATTAAGTGGTGGTTTCATGATTCTCAAAACCTCCTGATGAGTGACCTTGCTGTTGGATGTCGTTTACCTAGGGCGTAGCTGTTACAGATTTGGACAGGCGAAACAGGCTTTTTAAATATTACGTTAGTATAAATATAGTGTTATCATATGCACCTTTTCACCCTTTCTTAAAACGTAGGCACCACACAAAGAAATAATCGATTCTTTCTTACATCATGTTTAACATGGGCCATTTTTAATTGGGCTAGCGTTTCACTAGCAGTTAACAACTGTTTCAAAATTGTTGATGCTAATGCGTGTCTCTAAATTAATCTTCATTTTCTAACAATGTATAATATGAATACATAGAACTTTTTCTACTACTCGGCAACATGAATATATATAACTTCTTCTACTACTCGGCAACATATAACATGAATACATATAACTTCTTCTACTACTCGACAACGAATAAAAACCGGCGTCTCAAGAAAGACTGGCTTGGAAGATGTGCGGACTTTCTCAGGTACGTAAGTTTGACTAATTTATTACATCAGTGACAAACTGCGGTCATTTTGTGATTTAAATTGTTAAACGTCGTATGTTATGCTAACTTAAAGACGGATAGTGATACGGCAATCAGTTATGCTAGAGTTGAAAATATTTTACGCGCCCTGTGAGTGATTACTTATTTTGCGTTCTGCAACATTTTTTCCACAGACACATAGTCTCTACCTGGTTTGGTTTGGCGTGGTTTGTTTTTTACTGTATATCAACCTCAATGGGTTATTTAATGCCGACAAAATTTTATCGCTGATAACATTTTTTCCAAAAATCTATAATCATTCAAAAATGTATTGCTGGTAATAATTTTTCCGAAAAACTATTGCTGGTATTAAAACCTATTTTTATACCTTCATAGTGTTTTGACCCCTTTGTAGGATTATCTATTTGCACATAGCTGGGACTCTGGTAGGAGCTACCAACCCCGGTCAGAGTAAACCTGCGAACGCCAGCAATTAAGAGGAGGTCCCATGCTCTTCAAAACCACTTGATCAAAGACCTTGCTGTCCGATTTTGCCCAGGAAGTTTTATCGTTTTGTGGTTTATCCAACCCAGGACGCGGATCTAGTTTACCGTCATACCCAAAATTGCGGATCTAGTTTATCGTTTTACCCAGGACGCGGATTTCGTCATCGTCTAACCCAGGACGCGGATGTAGTTTATCCTCTTGCCCAGAATGCGGATCTAGTTTATCGGTTTACCCAGGACGCGGATGTAGTTTATCGTCATACCCAAAACGCGGATGTAGTTTATCGTCTTACCCAGGACGCGGATGTAGTTTATCCTCTTGCCCAGAATGCGGATCTAGTTTATCGGTTTATCCAGGACGCGGATGTAGTTTATCGTCATACCCAAAACGCGGATGTAGTTTATCGTCTTACCCAGGACGCGGATGTAGTTTATCCACTTGCCTAGGACGCGTATGTAGTTTATCGTCATTACCAGGACGTGTCTCTACCTAGTTTATCGATATTTCTACGCCAAAGACGTTGGCTTTTTATCGTTAGTTCCACCAGTTCAGAACTTTAAAGCCAGGGCCAGCTACTGGGGTTCCACAAAATTTTATCACCGCCATTCTCTTCGTGTTCGAAAAAGAACAAGATAGTTCCTATGAAATACAAGCTCATGGAACTGACTCTCACATGTTTGTTTCCCTAAACACTTCAATTTTTATTCTATAAGGCAATGGTCATTTGCACTTGTACCTTATACTGGAAGAAATTTAATATAAAAAATATATCAAGGCACATGATCCTTAAATTGATAAAAACTTACGTGTGTGTTTGTGTCTGCATGTTCCAAAATTGTAAATATTCCTTTTCAACAACATATTTATATCTATATCTATCTATCTATTTATCTATCTATATATTATTATTATTATTTATTATAATTATTTATTAAATAATTAAGAATATCAAACACTTAAAATCCTATTAAGTGTTTGATATTCTTTAATTAATGATAATTTTGCTCTGTCTTTTCACATAGAGCTCTCCCTGGATCTATGTCCTCCTGGAAATTTCATACTGATTAGAATATTGTATCATTACTACATATATTTGTAGATATTCTTGTAGTTATACACTTCATCAATATATTGATACCGATATTGATATCAATATACACCAATATATATATATATATATATATATATATATATATATATATATATATAAGCATGCGTCTCTGTGTGTGTGGTGCCTGTGTGCTTTTATCGGGAGATCGATCTATGGAAGTTTTTATCTACCGCATTGCGAACTTAAAACGTTTTTGCTCCCCTATCCACCAAAAAAGAACGATAAACGCCCATGCATATTTTCGACAAATTCTTGAAGAAATATCGGATTTATTTTGCTTGTTCACATATCCACGTACATACAGCAGTACGCGTACGAACCTACACACACAGAGACACACATATATATATATATATATATATATATATATATAGAGAGAGAGAGAGATATATATATATATCCTTATTGATATCTCTGCGGCCCAGCTCAAAGATAGTATCAGTATGCTCCTGAGATGATCTACAAAAGAGAAAAAAATTGATTAGTCTCTTACAGCGTGGAGAAGAAATAAGGAAATAAATCATCAAGAGAGAAAAAAATTTAAGATACGTAATAATTATATATAAATATATTTCTTGAGACACATTTTTAGATTCTTTTTTAATCTCTTGTTAGGACGAATTACTGTAACCATTTCCAAAGTAACGGTTTTCAAATTGAAAATAAATTTCGATTCAGTTCTCATTGATCAGTCCAGAAGAACCTGATTGGTAAAAATCAAATGTTTGGATAAAAATGTAGATTACATTTTTTTTTTTTTTTTACTTGCGGGACCTCAGGAACATTTTCTGATTGCACATTTGTCACAGAGTTATCTTTTACTTTTTTAGCACAGGAATTTCTTTTTTATCGACTAGTCTTGACCACTGACTATGTCTGATAGGCAAAAAAGTTGCTGTTTATAATTATGGAACGATTTAAACCCGATATCAAATTTCTTTGGCAAACAGCAATTACACCCTTCACCTAGAGACGCATTCGTTAAAAATCATATTAGCAGGGGCTACTTTTTTCAGCATTATAGACATACGTACAACAAAATCAGTAGCATTTGTAGCGCGAATTTCATAAGCGCAGAACTTATCGAGGTGAATTTTTGACGAGGCAGGACAATATGCGCGCTGCCTGAGCACAACATATGTCCTCGACACTACAATAGACACTACACTCTCCCCTGCACTGAGCAACAAAATAAATACAGCCAACCATTTCTTTCTTTTTACAAATGCTATCTTAAGAGCATTGCTAACTTTAGGTGTCATCTTAAATACGTCCAATTCCATTTGGTCCTTATAGGATAAAAATGCTTACCTCATTGTGTTTATTCTTTGGTTTGCATAATTTCTTCTAGCCAAAACAGCGCATGAAATTTTCTTCGTCAACAGACACCTGCCTCTCAAATACAAAAGCTACAGGAACAATCGTAGAAACGTCACAGTCAGGGCCAAATTATGCAGTGCCGATTCAAAAAGGTGAACAAGCGAGAATGTTTCTTCGGGTATAACCACAGGTTATTTAAAATTATACAAGGTACGCCCGACAAGCTTTCAACCATTTTGGTTTTCCCCAGAACAATTTGCAGAGTCGTCATACAATTTACCAACCAAACGGAGGTTATCATTCTGGACAGGCTTGAGTATGAATTCCCATGCAAAATGTCACAGTCAGCAGTGAGACGCCATTTAGGGAGAAATCTATTTTTTTTTCTTTTACTGTGTAATCGTCACAGTCCAAATTAGATTTCACACAGGGCATGTGGTAAAACATTACCCTACGTTTTACCTCCGCTTTCAGTTGGATGTCCGGGTGATGTAAAGGATATCGACCAGTAATGAGAAATCGGAGAGCTGCGTTCGAATTCCAGTCGTGTTCATTCACTTCCGAACAAATAATCTTGGGAAAGGTATGAAAGTATAATCTCCTCCCGAGATATGGGTTAAATAGTAGGACTTATATATGGGAAAAAACATTATTCTCAGACAAATGTTAATGCAATATTCACTCGAAAAAAAAACTTATTGTTAGAATTCAAAATATGTTTTGGCTATAAACCCAAAAGAGTTACTTAACCGTAAAAAAAACAAACCTACAAATCAAAAGAAAAAATGTATACAGTCTACCT